GCAAGAGAAGCAGCAAGATAGTGCCTTAAAGGGCAGAGTTTCATAGGTGGAGTGTCTGAGGTATACAAAATATATGCAGCCACCAGCAGAGCCGCACTGTGCTGCAGCCGACAGCAAACCCTAAACCCTAAACCCTAAACCCCCGCGTAGTTTCAGGGGCAAGTTAGGGTTTTAGGGTTTGGCGTCAGCTTCATCTCTGCAACGTTCGGAAGGCCGAGGCTGCGAGCAAAGACAAACCCTAAACCCTAAACCCTAAACCCTAAGCCCTGCCGCAGACAGCCCACTCTAGACCAGCAGCTCAAACCCTGAACCACAAACCCTAAACCCTAAACCCTAAACCCTAGGAAGAGCACTCACCAGCTTAGGGCTTTGCATAGCTGCTCCTTTTGGTGAGGGTTTAGGGCCCTCAGCAGCAGCAGCAGCCTTTCACAACAAAGCAGCAGCAGCAGCTGCTGCAGCGCCTCCAGCACATCCTTTCCTGTGCGCAAACCCTAAACCCTAAACCCTAAACCCTCACACACACTGCGGACTTCACACGCGCAGCTACCCTTAGGGCTTAGGCTTTAGGGTTTAGGGTTTAGGGTTTAGGGTTCGCACCTTGAGGGGTCGCCGCATAAGGGAGAGCAGTCTTCTGCAAGGCAGCAGCAAAAGAAAACAAAGACAAACAGCCACGCACTCCAAAAGTGCTGCTGCTGCTGCTGCTGCTGCTTGCTGCTGCTGCTGCTGCTGCTGCTGCTGATTCGTTCTGCAGCAGCGCTACGATCCGCTCTAGAAAAGCAGGCACCCAGCTGCTGCGCAGCAGCAAACCCTCTGCTGCAGCAGCAGTTGCTGCTGCTTCTGTTTCCTGATCTGTTGCTGCTGCTGCAGCGCCTCCTTGTGATGCTGCAGGTGCTGCTCCTTGCAGCAGCTGCTGCTGCAACAAGTCCGCTAGAAGCATTGCTTCTGCTGCTGTTATAGCTGCAACTCGCGTCTCAGTAAGGTGCAGCTGCAGCAGCTCAAGTGCTACCTGCTGCAGCAGCAGACGCAGCCGCTGCTGCTGCTGTTCTGCAGCAGCAGCGCAGCAGCAGCTCCTTCCTACGGACAGCAGCGCCTTGCAAACAGCGCACAAACCCGTAACGCCCAAGAGAGAAACCTGCTGCTGCTGCTGCTGCTGCTGCTGCTGGTCTCTGGTAGCAGCAGCAGCAGCAGCAGGAGGGCCCCCCGCAACAGCCTCCAGACGGTCGCGGAGAGACAGAAGAGATGCTACAGGGCGATCAGCTGTCTCCTTTTCGCTTGCTGCTGCTGCTGCTGCTGTTGCTGCTAAGGAAACGATTCTCGCTGCAGCAGCAACAGCAAGCTGCAGATGCGGCGGGTGAAGAGATGCAGCAGCAACAAGGAGTGCTGCCGCAACGGGCATGTCTGCTGCTGCAGCATTTGCTGCTGCCCCTGCTGCAGTTCGTGCTGCTGCTGCAGGTGCCGCTGCTGCAGCACTTCCTGCTGCGGCTGCTGCTGAATGCTGCTGCAGCAGCAGGACCCTCGCTCTATCGGCGAGAGAGCGCATGCACTCTGCTACCTGCTGCTGCTGCTGCTGCTGTAGTTGGTGCAGCGGAAAGGACCCAACAGCATCTAACGAGACAGCTAGCTGCTGCAGAGACACAGAAGACAAGATTTGCTGCTGCCGCTGCAGCAGCAGCAGCAGCAATTCTCCTGTCTCCTGCCAATCCGCTTCATCTCTCGTGCTGCTGCTGTAGTCGTCTATGAGGATGCCCGCTGCTGCTGCCGTGCTGCTGCTGCTGCTGCTGCGCTTGCAGCCGCTGCTGCTGCTAGCAAGTGCATGCAGCTCCACAGCAACAGCAGCAGCATTTAGTCGCGAAGCCCTCCTAAAGAGCCCCGCCCTACGGGTTTGCTGCTGCGCTGAAGCAGCAAGTGCTGCTCTTGCTGCAGCGCGAGGCAACAGCTGCTGCACTGCTTCGGGTAGGAGATCATGCAGCTGCTGCTCCTGTTGCTGCTGCTGCTGCTGTTGCTGCATTGCCTGCAGCTGTTTGTGTCGCCCCCAAGGCGTCAGTATCTGTGGGGCCGCACACTCCTGCTGCTGCTGTTGCTCCTGTTGCTGCTGCTGCAGCTCTTGCTGCTGCTGCTGCTGCTGTGGGGGGCCCTCATCTGCTGCTACTGCTGCAGCAAACCAGCGCCGCTGCGCTGCTTGCTGCAGGGGGCCCCCCAGGGTATAGTGCAGCAGCAAATTTGTTTGTCTCAGATGAGAAGCAGACAAATTTATAGAAGAAAAATAAACAGATCTGCTGCTTACGCGGATTCTTCTCGCTGCTGCTGCTGCGGCTGCTGCTGCTGCATTTGCTGCTGATGTTGCTATCATTGGGCGGCGAAGACAGCAGAAGTCTTGACACCCTAAACCCTAAACCCTAAACCCTTAACCCTAAACCCTAGAAAATACAAATAAACAAATAAAGCAAAAGAAGACATTCTTCTTACTGTGGGGCCCCAGGGGGCCCCCCAGGGGCCCCCTGGGGGCCCCTCTGCTGCAGTGTTGCTGCAGTCCTTCTAATAAACCCTAAACCCTAAACCACTAAGCCCCAAAACCCGAAATCCTCAAGTCTCAACAGCTAAACCCTAAACCCTAAAAACAAAAAACGTAAACCCTAAACCACTACTGTCGCGCGACATTGAGGGGTTTGCTTACTCCAGTAAGGGTTTAGGGTCTAGTGTATATAAAGCTAGCTACAGCTAGCTACAGCTAGCTACAGCTAGCTACAGCTAGCTACAGCTAGCTACAGCTAGCTAGCTAGCTGTAGCTAGCTGGCTATGGGTCTATGCAGCTATATTGAGGCGCTGCTGCTGCAGCGGTGCCCCCAGCGCAGGCGAGAAGCGCTTAGGGTTTAGGGTTTGAGAAGTATAATTTCCTAATAAACCCTAAACCCTAAACCCTAAACCCTAGCACATGTGGCACTGTCGCATTGTAGCCTCAAAGTGCGCCGACGCTCTTGGGGCTAGGGATTAGGGTTTAGGGTCTAGAGCCTACAGATAATACGACTAAACCCTAAACCCTAAACCCTAGCCCTAAAGCAAAAGCATTAGCCGCAGGCTCTAAAACCTAAACCCTAAACCCTTAACCCTAACGCTAAACCCTGCTGTTGTCGCACAAGAGTATTGTATACAATCTACTTTTTTGTGCGGACGAAGCTGCCTGCAGCAGCAACAGCAGCAGCAGCAGCAGCAACAGCAGCAGATACACCTGATCCACTGCAGCGCTAACTTCATGCAAGTAGGGTTTAGGGTTTAGGGTTTAGGGTTTGTCGTTGCGCTTCCATATGAGATCCACTGTGGACAAACAAAAACACCGTTCGACTCTAAACCCCAAAAGTGCTAAAACCCTCGCTAGGGTTTAGGGTTTTGATGCCTGCTGCTTCTGTTGCTGTTCCTGCTGCTGCAGCTGCAGCAGACCCCGCAGCTACTGCTTCACTTGCTGCTGCTGCTGCTGCTGCTGCTGCAGGCGCGAAATGTGCAGCAGGTGCAGCGGCAGCCGGTGGAATAGCAGCAGCAGCAGGTGCAGCAGCAGCAAGTGCAGCAGCAGCAAGTGCAGCAGCAGCAATTAGTGTTTCGATAGGAGGGACATTCTATCATGTGTCTCCTCTCCTTCGCTGTCTCCTCTTCCCAGTTCGAGTTGCTGTTGGCGCCTGTTGCTGCTGCTGCTTTTGCTGTTGCTGCAGCTGCTGCTGTTGCTGCTGCTGTTGCTGCTGCTGCTGCTGCTGCAGCAGTGTGCGTGAGGCACGCCTCTTTTATGCTTCAGTTTATGAGAGATAAAGTTGCTGCTCAGCAGCAAAAAGGCTCCGCAGACAGAGACAAGAGAGTGGTGAAGCTGTGCTACCTGCAGCACAGCCTCAAACCACTGCTGCTGCTGCTGCTGCTGCTGCTGCTGCTGATGCTGATGCTGATGGGGGTCAGCTTCTTCGTGCACGTGGCAGCCAACGTGAGACAGCAGCACCAGCAGCAAACCTGATAAACCCATCAGCAGCAAACTCTTCCTTCTTAGCTGCAGAAAGTTTGCAGCAACAGCAAAACCACCGAGCGGCAGCACCAAGTACAGCGCAACCTGCAGCAGCAGCAGCAGAAGCAGCAGCAGCAGCAGCAGCAACAACACGAGAAATAAACTTCGCTGTACACGGGAAGACAACAGAGCACTGCTCTACAGACGAATTCTAGCTAGCTAGCCAGCTAGCTAGCTAACTAACTGTCTAACTAGCGAGCTAGCTGGCGGGTGCTAATGCTAGCTAGCTAGCTAGCTAGCTAGCTAACTGTATAGTTCTGCTAGCTAGCCAGCTACAGAAATCGACAGCTAGCTAGCTAGCTAGCTAGCTAGCTGTGTGGTTTTGCCAGATAGCGCTTCAGTTTCCCTGCTAGCTAGCCAGCTACCTAGCTAGCTAGCTAGCTATCCACCTAGTTAGCTAAATATCTACCTACCTAGCTAGCCATCTATATAGCTAGCTAGCTAGCTAGCTAGCTAGGAGCAGCTTACCCATTTAGTTGCAGTATGAACTAGCTGCAGATGTTGCGTGTCAGCAACAAAACCGAGAAAAGGAGTTAAAGCGGTGAGCAGAGGCAACAAAGTGCAGTCCAAGGCACACAACAAAGCCGAAAAATTACTCCACTCAGACAAACCCCACCTTGAAACACACAAACCCTAAACCCTAAACCCTAAACCCTAAACCCTAAACCCTAAACGCTAAAGCGTGAGCGTCTCACTTCATAAAATTTAGACTGGAGGGTTGCTGATGCTGAAAGACACAAAGCACAGCGCAACGGGACAAACCCTAAACCCTAAACCCTAAAACCCTAGGCCCTAAACCCTAAACCCTAGACCGTCAAATGCGCATTTTTTATGTTCCACTGGGCGACCTCGGATATTTAGGGTTT